TACTTGCCTCAGGGCGGGAAATTTCAAAAGAGCTTTTTTAAATCGCCTTGGGAAACCAGCCTGCATTTCTTTGTCAGGTTCATCTCCGCCACTTTTAAGGCCAAAACAGTCTCGGGTTTTTATTCTGTACACAGCAAAAGGTCAAGTCCAGCTCAAAACTATGCGCACTCGTTTTTAAACTGGCCTTTTCCCCTTACATGTGCACAGAAATCCCGGATGCATTTCTAAATGTTGTACTTTAAATTAGAATGCTTGGGGAGGGGGCGTCTATATTGGATCGCCATGCGTTCCCTTCTTCCCTTCCCCCACATCCTGCTTTGGGGGAAGTTTCAGCAAAGGACTCAGATGGTGTATTTTTCCCAAAGTCATGCTTAATGCTAGGGGAAGGGCGTGTCTACCCCTCCCTCCACCAAAATAAACTTTTTAATGGCAAGAAAAGAGACCTTAAACTTTCAGAGCTTTAAATCTTAGATAGCAAATTAAATACTTAGCATTTTTCAAATCAATACTTTTACGTTTAAGGATACATTTCAAATACATACTCAGATAGCCACACAAAGGAGGGGATAAGGCAGGCCCCCTCCCTCCACATTCACATACTTTCACCAGACATTCATTCAGAGTTTAAACAATCCATTCAATTCCTAACAACTTCCCAACTCCTGAGGGAGCTCTAAAGCCTCCCCCAATCTCCTTGAAATGATCAATCACAATGCCCAAAGGAGCAGTCTGAGTCCATCCCATAACGTCCATCCAGTAAGTCCACAGAAAGAAAACGTACAAACACAGAAAACTAAATGGGCCCTAAAATATAGCCTTCCAACTCCATGGAAGCAGAACCAAAACAGTCTTCCAACTCCATGGAAGCCAAACCCGAAAGCTAGATGATGGCCTTATGCCAAACCAGCGGGAGCGATCCGCCTCATCTCAAATCCGCGAGGGGCATACTCATCCCTCGTGAGGGGCATACTCATCCCTCCTGAGGAGCAGAACGTCTTCCAACTCTCCCCCGCCTGTGGTCTTTCACGGCGCGTCCGCCTAGACCCCTCAGGCACAGATTCCAGAAGTGAGCTCACACAGGACAGATAAAGAACAAGTCCCTGAACAGAGGCAGTAGAAAACTGCCTAGGAATGCTTCTCTTCTACCTTTTTTTAAAAGATAGGCCAGATTCGAACCCTTAGCCAGTCCGAGTTTTGA